CCTCGCGCTCCTCCTCCAGCGCGGCGAGCCGGGCTGCCAGCGCGCCCAATTGCGCGGGCTCATCTTCGACGGCCTCGAGCGCGCGCTGAACGCCAGGCTCCACGAGGACCTCAAGCTCTTTAAGTTTTGGGCCCAGATGGTGCTCTCCGATTCGAGGCGGGTCGTGCTGGATGAGGAGCTTTTGGAGGGGGGGCTGGAGTACCTCCTGGAGTGCCACCCTAGCGCGGTGCAGGTCTACCTCGTCGACGTTGGCCAATGGTATAACCATATTCAGTCGGAAGAAAATCATCTGATCGCATCGGATGAGCCGAGTGGATTCCTTCGTTATCGCCCACTGCTCTGTCAGGGGATATCTTATACCAACACAGGCGGTCCTTTGGCTGAGAAGCCACAAATGGGGGAATTCGCCGATGTGCGGCGCAACAACCTCGAGTTTGACGTCTACCACACCCTCACGCACGGCTCACCGCCAAACATTGAAAGCCTTTTTGAGAAGCTGCGCACATCACCACGCCAACGCTATGACTACACGTTGGCCGCCGAGGTTCTTAGTGCGGTTCTTTTTGCGGAGATGCACAACCCGGGGGATTATGATTATTTGAAAAGCTGCATCCCACTGCTTAATATCGCCGTCGACGGCCCCAACCGCCGAGAACGCGAACTTGCATTGGTCGCGGAGGTTCATGAAGTCTGCGACGCCTTCCAGCAGAGGCCACCACAGCAGTCGCCGCTCGCCAAGCCGCACATCTTAGCCAAGCTGCGTTCTTTTCATGTGGTGTCCGACGAGTCGCTGGATCGCGTGCTCCGATTCTTCGCCGAGCGCGAGGAGAACGACGCGGAGCTTTCCGACGTCGACGGCACGAGCCCGACCTTCTCGCCCAAGCAAATCGAGGCCGTCGCCACGGTGCAGGAGCGCCCGACAGTGATGAATACGCCCCACCACACGTGGCTGGGCGGCGGTCTCGGCGAGAGCCCCCCCGCACCCCGCAAAGCCCCCTCAACCCATCCGGGCGGTCCCCCCAGCGATCGCCAATTGCACACCTTATACGGCGGCCAACCCCCCAAAGAAGGGGAGGGAAACCGGGCCGCGTACAACGTCGGCGGCCATCGCGGCGGCGGGATGGAGGTGATATCCCCTTCCATCGCCTACCCCACGCCATCGCACTTGCTGGCCAGCAGTCCTAATTTTAACACCACGACGTGGATGCCCTGTCTAGGTGGCGGCCAACACCAGGTCCAGCATTACTATCGCGGTGGGGGGCGCCATA